CCCTGGAAGACTGGAGTCAAGGGACTGGGCAGGGAGGTGGCATCAAGTCCTGACTCCACTACCTGTGTCTGGATGTATCTGGATAAGACACTTCACTCCAAATGTCAGCTTCCTCATACAGACTGGGCCTGGTGCCAGTACCGGCTTTCTAGAGCACCAGTTCCCAAACCAGACCCACGGTGGATCCTGAAAGCAGTGACCTTAAAAAAAAAAAGGGCGGAGTAGAAAATGTCTATTCGTGTAAATGCTAATCAGTTCCTGGCATTTAATAAGTTCTCAAAAAATGTTATTATTCCTGATGGAAGTGACAGCACTGACTATCATCAGATCGGTCATTAACAGACTGGCAGAAGGTCAAGAGCCTCTGGGACCCCTTCAGTGCTCAGCAATCCTTGGATTCAGGAAGGAGACATGAGCGCAGAGCTGGGGATGGTGCTGAGCACAGGGCTCCTCAGTCTGCACACCCCTGTCAATCTGCTCCTGGAGTGGGCAGGAAATTAAAGGTGGCCCCTGTCAACCCCAAAGAGCATTTTCCTACCCAAAAAAGGAGCTGCTTTGCTAAGCATGTCCTTCAGCCAAAGGCTGGCGCAAACCACAGAAGCCCATCTCAGTCTGGCACCAAGAAACGTGTGGTTACTCCGAACAACAGAGAGGGTGAGTTCAAACAAATATAGCCCAACAAGGCCCTCGGGTTATACAAGGCTGATAAGGAGTGGCTATTACCAACTTCTCCCAACATAACCTCACTGTCGCTCCCACAGACCTGCTGTCCCTCCCAGGATGAGGTCGGCACAGAGGGCTGGGGGGTGCGGGTGCCTGACTCCTGGGAGCCAAGTAGCTGCAGGACCTCTGGCTCTGCTCCTCCGTCTCCCTGAGCTCCCAGATCTTTCCTGAGTTGGACTCCTCGTCCCCTCTAGGCTGGCCTCAAGGCAACCCTGCAGCCACAGGTCCCCATGTGCCACCCCCAACATCCCACCAGGAGAGGAAGACCTGCAGGGGGTGGGCAATGCTCTCTGGATTGTATTTTTCATGTTGTTTAAGTTGAACTTGCCCCCGCCGGACTTCTCATTGGCTCTAATTTCTTTCTGGAACGGAATCTGTGAGACAGGCAGAGAGAATGCCATCCTGGGTCTGCCGTCTGACTCAGCGGAGGTGGTGGGGCAGAAAGACGGGGCCAGGACATCTGTGTTAACTCAGTCTTCACAACAGCCCCGAAAGATAGGTGCTGTCATTATCCTGGTTTTGCTGCAGAAAACTGAAGAAACGGGGTAGATTGCTAGGATTCAAGCCCAGGCAGTCTGGCTCCACAGTCCCGGAGAGGATCCTGGGCTTGGTTTGATACCCAGAACCTTTATTTACCAGCTGCCCGACGTCGGGCAAGGGATTGGCCTCAGAAGACTTCAGTTTCTTTAATCTGTCAAATGGCATAGTAACAGCTGTTTGCAGGGTAGGGTGTCCATGAGACATGGTAGACAAAGTGCAAAGCACAATGCCTGGCACATAGTAGGTGGTCAGAATCAATAGTTCCCACCTTGCTTCCTGCTCATTTAGGCCAAGAAGGGCCCCAGGGCAGCTGAGTCTGCTCCCCTTTGTCTCCTGGTTGGGAGGCTCCGCCCACACCTCAGCCTGTGTCCATCAGAGGGGCCTTTAGTCTCATCTAGCCTGCAGTCCCCTCCCCCAGCTCAGGGTGGTCACACAGTCGGGGCTCAGGAGCAGCTCACTAATTGGCTAAAATCAGTCAGAGGGACAGGAAAGGGGAAAGTACACAGTGACAGAATCAGGACACCAAGGGACCATCAAGACCGCAGCCAGCTTGTCTCTTCTGCAGGGTGCGTGTGTGCACGTGTGTGCAAGCGTGCGCCTGTAAAGGGAACACAGTCTACCCCGGGGCTCACTCTACCTCCCTGCATCACAGTCAGCACCTTACGGTCCATGTGATCCATAGAGCCTTACAACGAGCTTGGGGAGGCAGGGCCAAGGTAAATGTTCCTGCTCCAAGGACAGCAGAACTCAGCCCAGGGAGCTCCGGTCATGCGCCGCAGGTCACAGGCTTTCAGTGATGAGCTGGATGGAGAACCAGGCCCCCTGGTTCAGGATCAGGTAGCCTGGGCTGCTGAACTGCTGGGGGTGGGGGGACAGCCTTACCAGGCCTCAGTGCAGAGGTGAGGGGGGACCACTGTGACGAGGGAGGGGGCAGGACATAACCGGGCCCAGCCCCAAAGACCCAGGCGATGTCAAGGGTGAGCAGAGAGCCAGTTCCCTGAGCACACCAGGGCCCTTGGGGTGGTGACCTGGGGAGACGGGTTTTCTCAGACTCCCAGGAAGAGGAAGAAGCTGTCCCCAGAGAGCCTGGAGTGGGCCAGATGGGAGTCCAGCCCAGAAGGGGGTACGTACCGCATGATGCCCAGAGGGTCCAGTGCCTCCTCCTCCTCCTCTGAGGACTTCCCTGCATCCTCGCCCCTCTGGCCCAGAACGGGTGGGCCCTCACCCTCCACCTGGTCCTGCTGCTGGAAGAAGTCAAAAGCATCCCCGTCATCTCCTGCTTGGCTGTCTGTGTCCAGGACAGAGAAATCTCTGCTGCTGAGATCTGCAGCCCCAGGGGATCTGGTGCCTGTGGAGGGAGACAGAGAAGGCACTGACATTCACCACCAGGGGACAAAGGGGCACCTCCCCGCATGCAAGCTCTTGTGCCAGCACCTGAGGCTGGGGGCTTCCTGCAGATTCTGAGACCAGAATGGTAGATCTGGGTGCACAGGGTGTGGCGGGGGGAGCAAAGCCTGGGGTGCAGCAGTTACAATCCCATTCAAAAACCTTGTGAACCTTCAATTTCATGGTGTAAGCATCATATAATTAACATTTTACAAGTATGGATTCATTTAAATATTGCAAAAACCCCACATGCAAGAACCTATTTGTACCTCCATTTTACAGATAAGGAAACTGAGGCACAGAGAAGCTGAGAAAGTCAGACAACCCTATTCTGCTTCCCCATAGCAGAAGGGGCCAGGAGATGGGGAGTTTCTTCCAGATACAGATGGTGGGGAGCCCCCTTACTGGAGCAGACACAGACCCAGAGGGAGGCAAAGAGGGGAGGGTTGTGACCTTGGAACAAACTGGGGCAGGAGAGACCCTGGCCTGCAGACCCCGGTGGGGGCTGTGGACAAGGACAGAATAAAACTGGTGTTGCAGTCTTGCCCAGGCTCATACACTGTGCATACACTGGTTTTGCTTTTATTTCCCCACTCCATTTTTTTTTTTCAATTGGCTTATCTGCTGTGAATTTCCTTTGGAAAAATTCCCATCTGTCTTGTGAAACTAGGAGCCTCATAATAGTTGGGAAAAGAGTTAAACAGAGTGATCCAAAGAAGGGAGAAGGTCAAGGGTGAGTGCCCAGCACCTCGGGATGGGACCCCCTCCCTCACATCCTTCACCTGCCCTGGGGCACTTGTGTAAGACGGGAACACGCCTGGTGTGTGCTGAGTTCAGCAGATGTGCTGAGTGGGGGTAAAGCGTCAGCTGTCGCTTCTACAGCACCTTCTGCACGGCAGGCCCTGTTCCAGGCACTTTACATGTGTCAGTTCACATGATTCTCACAAGCACCTGCCAGCTGGGCTAGTCCCATCGGACAGATAAGACTAGTGGAAAGATGGGAGGCTGTGGGACGCAGACGGCAAAGGATCGAGGTCCCCATCACTGGGTGCAGGGCTGCCTGGAGCCACAGCCACAACCCTCTCAGAGTGGGTACAAGCTGAGTGACGTGTCCCCAGGGGCCAGGGAAGCAGCCTGGCTGTGGGAGCACAGCTTTCTCTGGTCCTTGCAGGTCCCCAGGCCTGGCTGGCGGGAGACGGAAGGGTGTGTGCGCGCGCGTGTGTGCGTGCGTAGGGGGAGCTCTGGATGGGGCTGGCCAGGATGGGGTACATGGGGTGAGATCAGGGAGAAGACCCCTGGGAGAGGCCTGCCCAGCACCCAAGCAGTCAGTCCTAGCAGGCCGGGTCCCAGGCCCCTTCCGCCCACTGCGCTGGCCTAAGCAAGGCTTAAGGCACACATGTACGTGCCTCAAACAGCCTGGCTGAGGCTTCTGGGCTGCGGGGGCCTGCAGAGCCTCTCCCCCTGTGCCAGGGCAGCAAGGCCTAGTTCTGGGGTGGCAGGGACCTCAGCGACGTGGGACAGAGCCCTGGTACCTAAGAACTCTAGCAGCTCTGGGCTGCCGGCCAACTCGGCATCCCTCGAGACACAGCGCAGAATCTCGTCAAACACGGCTCTCCTCTCCCGGATGTCAGACTCCCCAACAAACAGGACCTTCCTGGGGAGCGGGGGAAGACCGGCCTTTGGGTAACGGCTGCTGAGTTTCTGGTAGAACTCCTCAATCTCGCTGTACTTTTTGGAGACCTGGAATGAGAGGCACACATGGTTTCCTGAGTAAAGAGAGAGAGAGCGTGAGCTGCTCCTCCACTCGTGCGTCAAGCTCGTGCTGTGCATTTACTCTGTGTGGGGAGACCCAGCGTGGTCTCTGCCCTCCAGGCTCCAGGTCTAGAGTGGAGGGAGCGACCACAGCACAGCAGGTCAGTGCCGTCACTGCGGTCTGTGTGACACGGCACGGGCTCTCAAAGAGTCACCCACTGTGCACCACACACCACCAACAGCCGAGCGTCCTCCCTCGCCTGGACTCCTGTGTGTTCTCCCCGCAGGCTCAGTCTGTCTCCCCAACTCCCCTATGGGAGCATCGACACGGAAGACACAGATATACCGTCTTCTGCTCCCAGGCCAGGCCCGCATCCACAGCACGCCACTGAAATGCTGGTGTAGCCAATGGGCTGTGGTGGGTCTGGACCCATACAGGTGAGGGATACCTGGCAATGCCATCGCACAGCACACAGCCCCGGCTAACCAGCATGACCACCAGAACCCCCAGCCTATGAGGGTTCCAGACGGAGGACTTCAGGAACCCCCAACGGGGAGTCATCTGGGACAGGGAACTGTGGCTTGCAGTTGTCTTCACAGGAGCTTTCCTGAGAACAGCCCTTAAGGAAAGGTAAGAGCATCCTTTCACAAAAGTGATGCAGGCTCCAACTCCTCATGGTCCTGAGAACCTGAGACTCGACCAGGTGCGGCCGAGCGCCCTCTGCTGGCCTGACTGCTCCACGCAGACCCGGCCACCAGACCCAGCAGGACCAGGGTTCTGGAAGCAGTGGGTCTTCAGGGTACTGGCAGCCCCGGGAGCCACAAAGCTGTAAGTCTTGGGTGCCACCTCATCCTGGGCCCACATTCATCAGTGTTCCAAAGCAAGGGCTTCTATTCCCTTTAAGGAGTAGAAAGCAAAACGCTCATTAGTTTTTTTAAAGCTAAATCATGAAACTGCGAAGAAATTTCAGGCTTCGGTTGCACCCCCAGATCCCACTGGGAATAAATGCATTCTTTGCCCTCGCAGGTGGTTCAAAATGCTGAGAAGCATCTCCAAGTACGAGTCAAATCTGGACCGCAGGACCCTTGCTCATTCTACCTTTATCTCACAATCCTGCAACCTGCCTCTCCTGAGCACAGCTCTGGATCCTTCTATAAGAAGCCAAAGGTAGATAGTGAATGGATGAGTCTGTGATCTTGCCCCTCCTGAAACGCTCTCCTTCCTTAGCTCCCTTCTCACCCCTTGGTCTCAGCTCCTTCTCCTTGACTGTCTGAGGTGCTGGTGTCCCCAAGGTTTCCTCCTCAGCCTCCCCTCCACACCCACAGCCACTCTCTGGGCAACTTCATCTGCTCCCAGACTTTCAGTATCACCTCCAAGCTGATGCCTCCCAAACCTGCCCCTTAGGCCTGACCCCGTCCCAAGTTCCAGCCTCATGTCTCCATCGGGCCAACACTTCATGCTCGAGACGTCTACCTTCAACCTGGCCCTCCGCCAGTGTCCTTTTCTTCAGTCAGTGGAAACAGTCAGTCAGTCATGATCTCTCCTTCCCATCCATACCCTCTACTGCTGGCCTGCTCCCAGCCCTCACCCAGGCCACCTGGGTACTAGCCTCCAAACTGGGCTCCCCATTTCCTGCCCTGTTCCTTCCAATCCAACTCCACTCGCCACCAGGCAGGTCAGTGGGAGGCAAATAGGACCAGGTCATTCCACTGCTTAAGACTCCTCCTGGCCTGCCAGACCAGCCAGATGCCCCGCCTGCCCTCCGTGACCCGGCTTCTGCCTGTCATCACCCTCCTCCTCCCCTACTTCCTCCAGGACGACACTCAGCTGCTCACAGTTTCCCACACGACACCCTGTTTTTAGCCTCTGTGCCTTTGCTTAGGCCATGACCTTGAAATTTATTCCTAGGTATTTTTGTTGTGACTGTCAATGGGATTGTTTTCTTAATTCTCTTTCTTCTAGTTCATTGATAGCATACAGAAATGCAGCAGATTTTTGTATGTTGATTCTGGGCTTGGCCACCAGGGCTACAGATCCAGGACTGCATACACCGCCTCTCCTCTTCTCCCAGATCCACCTCCTCTATATGTTCCAGTCCACCCACCTCTAGATGTACAGATGTGTGGAGCTGCTGTGGATGTTTTACTGGTTGTAGACTGAAGGGGAGAGAGACAAAGGGAGTGTCTTATCCACCCTAGTGCTGACATCTCCACCTGCTCTTTAAAACATTTCAGCCTTGGCCTTTTCTGAGAAATCTTCCAGAACCCTTTCCCTAGGATGGGTTGGGTGCCCCTTCTCTGTACTCCCACACGTTCCCCCCCCCCGCCCCGCCTTGGGCTCCTGTCTCCACCTGTATCTGTCTCTTTACAGGTCTGTCTCCCCACAGACAGTAAGCATCTGATTCATTTGTGTCCTTACCGCCAACACGCACTGGCAGGCACACTCAGGCCGAATGCTGGCTAGAAAATTGCGCACTTTCTGGTGCTACTTGCACCCTGGTGGCAGGTATGTCTGACCACCTGGACCCCTGGATGCTAGGCACCCTCGGGAGCATCCTGGGAGAGCCCCCAGCTCACCAAGAACTGGACGACATCCTCGGGCCTGTGCTTGGCCGACTTGAACGCAGCCAGCCGGGTGACCACCAGGATCTGGTACTCCACGTGCCCTGACATCATCTTGCCCCGCACCTCCTGGTGCTGGGGCACCGTCAGGTCGAGGCCTGTGTGGACATTCTGAACTCGCCTGCCAAAGGGAGAGAAGGCAAAGGAAGCTCAGGCTCAAGTCAGCAGACTTCTCAAGTGAAACGCAGGCAGGGCCTCAGGGTGGCCTGGAGGGCCCGGGTGAGAGGCTGCTCTGCTGGCTGTCCTCAGTGCGCACAGCTCCAGGCCACCTGCCCCACCACATGCCAACCCTCACTCAGCCCGGCTCTGCAGGCCCTGACCTGGGCCCCGCTTTTGGGTTGCTCAGGAACAGAGGGCTATTCCCAGCAGGAAAACAGGTGATAGCAGAGAACATGGAGCTTATGGAAGATCACAATTAGGTATCTGGGATAAACCCAGTGCAACAGTTCCTGCGGGATTTGTGCGGATGACATCCCCAGGGCTCTATTCAAACCAAGGGAAGTGACTGGCTCTGTGCACATGATGCAGGATTGAAACCGCACCAGGAATCTGGAGAGATGCATTTTTTCAGCTCACCAGAGGGCAGCAGAGCCACCACAGAACCTGCTCAGCTGGGGGAAGATGGAAAAAGCACTGGATGCTGGGCTATCCTTTGTTCTGGGGCCTCTGCAAGGCACTGATAAGGCCTGCTGTACCTGTACGAGGCTTTGAGAGGATACTCGGCAAAACGTTACAGCTCTTGGAGAATTTTTAATGCTACACAAACATACTGAATTGTACGAAGAGCTGAGAAGTTATAAAATGTTTCCTCTGAGGTGAGAAAAAGGTTAAATATATTCCTATTCTACATAAGGGTATAATGGAGACCATGCACACAAACACCTATGACAGGACATACCGAGCACATTGTTATCAGGGTTGAAACCGGCTATGCACTGGGCAGGACTTTCAGAAGACAAGAAAAGGAAGGCCCTGAGGGGTGAGGGGCTTCCGGGGCTAAAACCGTGCCTGGAGCCAGGCCCTATCCCCCTCTGGGACTATATCCCAATCCACCAAGTGACACCCTGCCCCCCCCCAGCACTCCTGCCATGCAGATTCCTCCCCTTCCCACGGTAGCATGAGACATTGTCACCGACATGATGCTGTTTGTCACCAACTGGGAGGACAACCCACCACATACCCACATATGAGGTGTGTACACACATTTACTAACCATACAAACCTCTACACACATGAGCATGTTCACAAGGTGTAAGGCTGCTAGACTGAGCTCGAAGCACTCAGAAAAGCCCGGGCGACCCTGCTTTCGGGCAGGTGGTCAATGAGCCCCATGCACAAGTGCAGGATGGGATACACCAAACAAGTCAGCCCTCTTTTCCTTTTGCCAGTAACCAAATGAGTGTCCTTGGCCTTCCACACAGACCCTGCTGCTCCTGGTGCCACACACGATGTTACGTTCCAGGTGTTCTGTGCAGCAGAGCAGAGCTGGATTGAGGGTGACAGGTGGGCGTGGGAGCAGCCGGCACCCCCGCAGGCCCTGTCTGAAGGACCCCACGAATCTAAGGCCCTCCCGCCTCCCACGGCCCTACAAAGGGACACTACTGCTTAGACCCACTTAAAGTCAGAGAAACAGACACAAAAAGGGAGTTACCTGTCCTTGGGCTCAGGTCAGAGGTGGAGCCAGGGTTCACTCTAGGCTGCCCCCCAGCCACCACTGACCAGTGCTCTCAGAACCCACCCCTAGCAGTTCTCCAGGACCTGCATCCATGACCCCGCCCACCACCTTTCCACTGTCCCTCCCTGTCCTGTCACGCCTCCCAGCTGAGAGGCCCCCCGCCGCAGGCCTCAGCTCCCCTGCCCTCTGCCCTCAACTCTGCAGTTCTCTGCCTCCTTTGTGCCTGGCAGCTGCCGGTGACTAGGATGAACTCAGACATGCTGACTGGTCCCACCAGAGATTCAGGGCCACAGCCTGCAGCACTAGGTCTAGCAACCCCTCCTCTCGGGCTGGACCTGGGGTTGTCAGTGTGGTCCCTGCCACATCAGCATCACCTGTGAACCAATCCAGGCCGCTGCATCATTCTTCACTTTAACACGTCCTCCAGGTGACGCTGATGCACTGGAGCCTAATTCACTCTCTCTCCTGCTCCCCGAGGCCCCCAAGGAAACCTTTTCTGCAAAGGGCCAGATGAAATATTTCAGGCTTTGAAGGCCAAAAGGTCTCCATTACATCTACTCAACTCAGCCAGCGTAGAGTGAAAGCAGCCACAGACAGTACGTAGATCTTATTTACAAAAGTAAGTGGTGGGCAGGATGTGGCCCCCGGGTGTCGTGTGCCCACCTATACCCCAGACTGAGCTTCTCAAACTGTAAGTGCACCTGAGTCACCTGGGGATCTTGTCAATATGCAGATCTGATCCCGCAGGTCCGGGGCAGGGCCCGCGAGTCTGCCTTTCTAACCAGCCCCCAGGGATGATGATACTGCTCCTGGGACCACTCACTGAGTAGAAAGACACAGAATCCAAGTTGCCCGGGTCAGCAAACCCCTAGTGCCCGTTCTCCCCCACCCCCCTGCTTCCCACTTACTAAGAAAAGGAGAATGGTGGGGGGACCTTCCGAGCACATCCTGTGACATCCACAACTGGCCTGCATCTGCCTCCCCACCACTGGGGACCTACTACTGGCTGGCTTATACCTGAGGCCAACTCCTCACCTACTCAAATATGTCGCTTCCGCAAGTCTCCCCTCTTTTCGGCGCCATCAGTCTCCCCTCTTTATGGGATCCTTCTCGCTTCTCTTACAACCAAAGCTGTCCTTTGGCCCAAACTTCCCCTTGAGCTACAGCTGCATTTCTGCTCCTCTTTCCAGCAAAACTCCTCAAGAGAACAGCCTATATTCGCCACCTCGAGTTCCTCTCCTGTTTGATCTTGAACACTTTCCAACCTAACTTTGTCCTCACTTTGCAACTGAAACTGCTCGTGCCCAGGTCGCCAGCGAGCCCCATGTTGTTAAATGCAAAGGTCAGTTCGCTCTCTCCTCTTTCTCCAGCCGCACCTGACCGTCACTCTCTGCTCCTTGAAGCTCTGTCCTCATTGGCTTCTGGGACTCCCACTCCCTCTTGGTCCTATGCACCCCCAGTCACTCTGCTCAGCTTCCCCGGATGTCCCCCAATTCTGCCCAGAGCATTCTCCTTAAACCTCTTCTCTTGCTCCACTCTTCCCCAGGTGGTCTTATCCAGGTCCAAGGTTTTAAATTCCATTTATGGGCTAACTGTCTCCCAATTCCTATCTCTAGTCTGGACTCTGCCCTCAAGGCCACACTCGTTCTCCCAGCTGCCTTTCCAACATCACACTTGGCTGTCAAAAAGCTTCTTAAAATGAACATGTGCTGACAAATGGAGATTCGCACCTATCCCCAAACCTGTTCCATCCAGTCTCCCGGCTCGGTCCACTACAACCTCACTCTTCCAGGAACTTGGGACAGAAGTCTCACAGTTAGTCTTAACCCCTATTTCTTGTTCTCATATACCACATCTCATCATCAGCAAACCTTGAAAGCTCAGTCTTCAAAATATAGCCAGAACCCAAACATTTCTCACCCCCTCTGCCACCATCACCTCTCACGTGGATCACTGCCAGAGTCTCCTGAATGATCTCTATGCTGTGCCCTGCTCATCCACATTCTGCTCAACACAGCAGCCAAAGGACCTCTGTGAAATCCAAGGCAGGTCCCATGGCACTCAGAGCCTCACCTCAGCCTGGGAGCCCTGTCCTCACTGTCCTCTAGCCTCAAGCCCCCAGCTCTGCACCACAGCACCTAACACTTTCCCCGGCTTACACCATCACAGCCACACTGGCCTCCTTGCTGGTGCCCAAGCACCCTTCTGCCCCAGGACATTGGCTTTTGCTGCCCCCTCTACCCGGTACACTCTTTCTCAGGATTTCTCTTTCATTTGTCAGGGATCTACCCAACTGCCACAATCTATCAGAAAGACACTCCTGGACCAAACCATATAAAACAGCATTCACAACTCCCATCACTCTATTTCCCTACCATTTTATTTTCCTCCGTATCACTTATCATCCCTGACACACCATATATTTACCTGTTGTCCATCTGCCCCACAAAAGCTCTATAAGAGGGATTTTGGGCTGTTCACTCTGTATCCTAGAACCACTCACCAGCCTTTACCACCAGCACCTGCATCTTAAGAAGTCTTGTCCAGGTGGGGCAGTGAGGGAAGCCACCCAGCCCCTTCCCGAGCACCCAGCACCAACTGGTCTGCTACTGAACCTGCTTACAACTGCCAACCGCAAACCCTTTTTTGCAGAAAAGTAAACTGAAGCTCGGCGAGAGGAGGTGATTCATGGGGCATCAGGGAAACCCCTTCTGCCCACGAGGACACAACCAGCAACCACACAGAGGAGACCAAGCACGTTCTGACATCAGGGTTTACTTACAGAATCATACTTTTCTAGACCTGAAGCCCTGCGGAAGTTCAGATTACAACTGGAAAATGGCATTTATTTCTGTAAGAGACTAGCATCCTAGCCCAAGATTTTGTGTAGGGGGAAGACAGGTGGATAGATGAAAATACTTGTAGTGAGTCACTGACAGATACGAGAAAGGGGAAAGGATTAATCCATATCCATCCCAGCATTTCCAGGATCCATCTTGCACTGGGTCCTCCAGGCCTGGATCAGGGTGGGCTCATTCTGCCTCCAGGGACCCTCCAGAGGCCTTTGCTGTAACTGCACTTTTCCTGAGCTACCTGTCTGAGCAGCTGCCACCTCTCCCCGCCCCTTCACCTGGTTAACCTTCAGTCTTCCAGCAGGACATGGCCTCGTTCCCCTCCCCCCACCCCCACCGTTCCAGAAGCCTAGGTTACACCCTGCCCTATGTTCCCACGACAACCTGAACCCACCACCCCCTCAAGTATCTGTCCCCAGCGGGTCTGCGTTTGTCCCCGTCTCCCCTGCAGGGCCGAGCCTAGCCTGATTCACCCCGTCCCCATGCCGCTCACCGGGCCCGGCACACGGTGAGCGCTGAAAAGATGCATAAGCAGATTTTCGAGCCAAAAAGAAATGAGGGCAGGTCGGCAGGATAGGGGAAAGGAGAGCCCCCTGCTTTGGCCGCCTGCGCGGTGCCAGCCAGCTCAGGCCTCCCACTGGGTCTTGGGTGAGTTCGTTAGTCTCTGGGGACCTCAGT